CTAGTCAAAGTCTGAGCATGTTTTCCCACAAGAATTCATCTGCTCCAGGGAAATCTCCTGGGAGGACCAAAACTACGTTATAGCAGCCAAAACTCACCACAAAAAACTCTGAGATATTTTACTGTTGTTTTGAAATGGGTGTAAGATTGACACTATGTACTGCAGAGTAGTTGGCCATAAGATGGCCCAGCTGTTGACACTGTTCCTTTACAGGTATCACACAGTCTGTACACTCATCTCCCAAGCAAACCAGCCAAAGTTCTAATGATTCACTTGGTTTCTGTCCATGGCAGTCATGAATTCCTGTCCTGTCATCCTCAGTGTAGGTCTGCATCTCTGTAACTGTTGTCAAAGAGCAGAATCTTCTCACTGAGGAGAGACCTTGGTACCAATTGTTAAAATGGAATAGATCATCAGGTTGGCAAGGAAGTCTTCCCACCTGGAGGATAATTAGCAACAACCAGGGCACTGTTCAGGCAGCTGAATCTATTTCCCCACAATTGGCTTGCAACTACCTCTCCAATTCCCCCTCATTAACAGGCAATGAAGTGGAGGACTATTTATTGCCCGATTCATCATACAATTTGGTCAGCATATTCACCTACCAATTCCCATAGGCTTCCCCTAAATCCAATTGATCAGACCACAAAGTCCTTGTCCTGCTTCTTTCAGAAAGCCACGTTTGAAAGTATCCCATCTTGTCACCACAGCTGTCAAGAACTTGCCCTACGTATAAGCTAACAACTTAGCCTGCCATGGTTCCGAGCATGCTGATAGAAGACATGAGTCTCTTGAGTCAGAGACAAAGGACAGATTATTACTTAGAGCAATCACAGTAACTATCAGTTCCTCAAGCTCTAGTTCCCACAAGGGGATCTGAAGAGGGCTGGATCACAACTGCACATGCAATGGATTACTTTCCAGGAAAGGAATCCTTGCGCCTCTCACAAGATGTGCAGAGAGGCAAGAGAATCAGAGAGTGGTTTCCGACAATATGGAAAAATTTATGTAATGAGGTTCATCACATATTAACTATTGGCACTGATAATTTCTGGGTGGTGGCTTTATAGGCTCTTATTTTTTTTGTATTTCTTTTGGCGGGGGGGGGGGCGCTTGAAGAATCATAAGCACGCATCATTTTCAACTCTGTACTTTAAAAAATTCATTATGAACATTCCAGTCAAGATAATAACTTGAGTTTTTACAAAGCTCCTATGAAATGAGCAGAGAAAATAGAAAAAACTCTATATGCATTTAAAAAACTGAGAAGATTACTAGTTAGAGTTAGGGCAGGAATTAAGAGTTCGCCTAAAATGGTTCAACTAAAGAAACTTTAAAATAAATGAAAGGTGTGTGTACAGATAAGAAACCAATAAGGGATTTAGATAGCAACAGTGCGATGTTACCACTCCAGCCAGGCCCAGTGTTAGCTGGAGGCACGGAGGTGGGGCCCCCCAGTAATAGCTGTGCATGTGAAGGAAAATTCATTGTAAGAATCAGCACCAATAGGAAGACAGTGGGACAGAAAACCCCAACCTTTCTCTTCCCTCCTCCCCTCCAATGTCCTGCCATGCCTGCCATGTGCTGGACATAACTGGAAGTCAACTAGAAAGAGAATCTAGTGAGGCAGCTCATAGGGTATGAGCAAAGATAAAAATGGTTAGAAAGTTTAAAATGATCTATTTCAAAAGAAGGTCTATTAGGACCAATTGGAAAAGTTCCCTTTACTCCAAAAATCATGGGAACTATTTTTATCTTTTATAGTCTCAATTAGTTTAAAAATTCTTTGTATCTATGAAGAGAAAGCATATAGATTAAAAAAAACTTCAAAGTGAAAAAAACTGAATTAAAAAAGATAGAGGATAAAATGATTGTAAGGTGCATTTCACACACATGGCTTGCATTGATTCAAAGTGCAGAATAATCAAATCAGGCATTACTCAAGGATTAAAATTTCACAAATAGAATTCACAGCTTCGTGAAGGAAATGAAATTTAATGGGTGAGAAGATATTAGTGATATTGCACATATCAATTCCTGCCTTTAATCCTAGAAGCTTTAAATTCAAGAGACTCAAACATAATGGGAGTCCTATCACTACTCTTTATGGGATGTGGAATTAATCTAGCTGCCTGATGCCTGGTATTTTCTATGCTAGAGCTAGGTAGATTATTCTCCTGAAGAGTATTAAAATAATTTGCATTTCCTATGACCAGGTGATTTTGATTAATCCATACGAAGAGGTCCAGAGTTATAATATATTCAGAGATTCTAAAAAATGCAATATCCTGCAGTATTTGTAACTAATGAACTAATTCAAAAAATATTTGTTGAGTGCCTATCATGGACTTATCACTATTCTAAATGGTAAGACACTGTGGTAAGAATACTAGTATATCACTACCATCTAGAATTAGAATCGAGTGGTAATGACAGACAACAAACAAGTAAGCAAACATGTAATATGACACCAGGTAATGAGACTTGAAGAAAAAGCAATAGGGATGGGGTGATTGGGTGATTATTTTACATGTAGTGGTCAGAGAAGCCCCCTCTAAGGAGGGAACAGCTGAATAGGGACCTGATGTGAATAAAGGAACCCTGAGAAGATCTAGGGGGAAAGCATCCCATTTGAGGAGAATAATTGTGGCACTACTGCTAACTGATTACACAATAACCACTCCCCATACTATCTTGTTTCTGACAGAATCTGAATTTTGCTTGTAACAGCAATGTTTATAGTACAAAATTCTTCTTTGAAGCTAGAGATAGTCATGTGATCCAATTCTACTCAAGGAGACACAAAATCTACTGGGAGATTACTGGTTAAACTTCTGTTTCTTTTTTATTTATTTAATTTATTGGGGTACAGGTTTCTTTTTTTTTAAATATATTTTATTGATCTTTTACAGAGAGGAAGGGAGAGAGATAGAGAGTTAGAAACATTGATGAGAGAGAAACATCGATCAGCTGCCTCCTGCACACCCCCCACTGGGGATGTGCCCGCAACCCAGGTACATGCCCTTGACCGGAATCGAACCCAGGATCCTTGAGTCCGCAGGCCGACGCTCTATCCACTGAGCCAAACCGGTTTCGGCTGGGGTACAGGTTTCAAGCGTACAACTCGATAAACATAATCTACACACTGTATTGTGCACCCATCACCTTAAGCAAAGTCTCTTCTGTCCCCATTTATTTCCCCTTTGCCCATCTACTCCCACCCCTTCTCTCTGGCTATCACTAACTATTGTCTGTGTATATGTTTTACACATATACATAAATTGTTTTTTGTTCAATCCCTTTATCTTCTTTCATCCAGTCCCCCAACCCTGGCCAGGTAGCTCAGATGGTTAGAGCACCATCCCAATATGCCAAACTTCTGTTTCTTTGTAAAAATAAAAGGGAGCAGTTGGAAAAAGTACTTGATTGTTTCACCCCACATTCTTTCACCTGCCTTGATCCATCCATGATGCCCAGGACTAAAGCAACATCTTATGATCATGAAGTGTCAAGCATGAGCATAAAAAGAGGAGGAGGAGGAGGGGAGGAGGAAGAAGGGAGGAAGAAGAGGAGGAAGAGGAGGAAGAGGGGGAGGAGGAAGGAAGGGGGAGGGGGAGGAAGAGGGGGAGGAGGAGGGAGAAGAAGAGGAGAAGAGGAGGAAGAAGAGGAGAAAGAAGAGGAGGAGGGAGAGGAGGAGGAAGAAGAAGAGTAAGAAAATAAAAGAGGTTCCTGGGTTTTTTATGGCACTGTTAAGCCATTGAGTCAATGCCCCAAAATCCTCACCTCATGACTTCATTACTCAGGGCCCAACGGCATTTTGAGTAAAACGTGGTTTCAAGGTCTAGATCACAGGATGTGGCTGTAAGAACTGTTTTGTTAAGAACTCAAAAAAAGATTTATTAAGATGGTATCAAAGACCAACTCAGCTAGACAAAAAATATTCTAAGTATCTTCGGGTGCATAGACAGGAGAGCTTCTAAGATTTTTAAGGATATGGTGCTATAAAGAACCTTGACTATGAGCCAAAGGAAAATAGCCTGTTTTGAAGATATTTAGAGATGTAACATTTGGCTGGGGTCATAATTTGACACATAGGAAGCTCACAAGATCTTTAAGATAACCATAGCATCTTGGACTGAAAGGAACAGAGACAATTTAAAGTGAAAAGAGGGTCTGAACTTTCAACTTTCTACAGACAAGACATAAGCTACAAAACAACTCAGTTACAAATATAAGCTCATTTTTAGGGGGAAACAGGATCATTCAGAAGGTAAAGCCAAGTCCCAAGGGCAGAGCAAGAAGCTTGAGTTGGTATGGCCCACTCACCGCCTTCACTTTCCCCTTCCTCCACCTTCAGAATATGGCAGTTTCCTGACCCTGACTCACTCATGTATGCAGGGGACAGATAACTGGTATTTTCAGTTCACAGAGAAGCCATACTCAGGAAGCCTCTTTCTTGAGGCTGACTTAGATGTTGATCTGATTTAGATGTTGAAATTCTGTATCTCAAGCCTAAACCTGGTGCATTAGAGTATGAGCCTAAGGATCTTGGAAAAGCAAAGTGATCAGAGATACCAGTAATAGAAGTTAGTCCCATGGGTTGTTGTAAAATTCAGCTGAAAGTATAACAACAATAACAAAATGTAAATTCAAAGAATATTTAGAAGCCTAGAAAGTTATTTCAATGGAAATTTTTAATAAAACTGTTATACGTTTTTTTTCCTCTTTCCTTGATGAGTATAAATAGGGTAGGAATGTTTACTATACTTAGGCACACTTTCCGCTTGGAGACATTTTCAATTTATTTGTATTTAATTTGTTATTTTAAATGAATTGATTTTGTTTTTCCCAGTCTTATACTTCTAAGATGAGGGCAAATACCCTCTTCCTTCTAGCTAAGCTTAGATTGCTACTTTCCCACCCAATTTCTGTTGGAGATGAATTTAAATTCCCCCTTTATTCTACTTGGATTTACTATTAGCAATATTTTTCAACATTACCTCTGATGTAGATGATTCTCGTTTTAAAATGCTTGGATGTTTATCCAATAATTTTCCTTCTGGTTGCAAGGGTTTAGTAAGCAATTTTCTGTCTGTTACAGGTTCATATTGGTGTTCCTCTAAAGGTATCATTTTGTTCCCTTCGGTTATTGTCAGGTTAGGAATAGTGAACAATGGAGCAGCTCTTTGTTTTGCTGGTTCATCCCTTTTAGGACCAAACGCCTTTGAGTTATCTCCATCCTGCTGGTTCAGAGTTGGTAGAGTCAGGTCTTTCTTATCATCATTACCCAGTAACTAAAAAATATATCCATAAAACAAGCTACCAATTAATCATTACTGACTAGAAATATTTAAAATAAAACTGGACTTAAAATCATTTGTACCCTTATCCTTTATCATAACAAGTTACCATTAATATTTGTAAATTATTACAGTCCTTATAAAAGAATTGAGCAATTCTCTACTTGCCTGAAAACATGGACTATTCTCCATAACAATGATCATACTACTTTATAAATCAGTGGTTCTCATATATTCAGATGTTATAAATCAGCAACATCTCAAAAAAGAAGATAGTATAACATTTTACTGTTATACTATCACCAACATATCATAAAATAAAGGGCATTTTAACAGCAAAATAGTACAAGGAATGGTATCTTATAATAAAGGACTATAAAACTAAATAAATTGAGATGTATGAAAAATTCTCTATCTTTCCCCCCGCCCCCGCTCTCTCCCTGGACTGAGGGAAATAGTACATATTAACTCCTCAACTGATATTTGACCCAAAGGTGAAAATCATCAAATCCCATTTGTCAAGTAATGGGAAGAATCTTTTATTTCTTATTGGTTTACAAAGGAATTCACTACTTTATGGAGTGTGCTTCTGTAAAATTAGATAAAAAGCAAATAATATCATGTGAACTCTATTTCTACTATAATATATAGATTATTATTACATAGAGAAAAAGTAAAGAATGTGGTTAGGTCTGCGGCATCCATTTCTAAGGTCATTGTGCAGAACTTGATGCTTTTTCTTTTATGTGCCCCCCTTCTTTTTGTCCCCTATCTTCATAGATATTTTTAAATGTTACTATTTTATGCTAAAACTTCTCTTTTAAGAGTATAATTTTACTTAAGTAAGTCATGTAACTGTAACGATATTGCCATAACAAAACAGGATAAACTGAATAACTTTTTGAGTGCTTTTATTTCCATCTGTAAATATTTCTTCGTTTATAAATATTTCATCCCTTTAAAAAATAATGACTATTAGAAGTTGTCTTCCAAGTTCCCTTACCTCAGTTGGAATAGTTTCAACTTCCTTATTTATATGAGAGATATCTGTTAAATTAACAGAATATTTTATTATATAGAAAATAAACACATTTTTATGTAAACTAATAAATTATTATTATAATATTTTTTTCACCAAGAATAAAGAACAATTTAAATCAAGTAAATCAAGGTAGCTATTCAAACAAACACTATTTAGTAAAACAGACTGATGAATCTCTTGAAGATCAGGGAGAATGTACAAGTGTGAAGGTAAAATGAAAACATATAAAGTGATGAGATTTCAGATCCACCAATTAAGACATAAAAACAAGTATTCAGTGTATTTTGCTAAAAGTCAAAAGGAAATAAAATAAATCCCAGATGGTCAGTGTTAAGGTTGGGATTGGAAAAAGAGTGAAAAAAGACCATTCAAGAGAGGCTGAATAAAGCACTTGTGAACTTTTTCTAGAAATATGAAGGATACATTTGAGCAAAGAGAAAAGGAAAACCCAAAAGGAAGAGAGAGGGAATAAAGAACTGAGATACAAAGGAATGAAGTCTAGCAAAAAAAATTTATATGGTCGTTATTAGCTGCATGATGGTGCTCAGCTCATTTTTCTGAGCCTTGCCTTTCTCACATATAAAATAGGCTAATGATACCTTGTAGGTATGACACAAATATATGTATGATGTGAGCAACCATATGGTTAAATGCTCAAACTCAATCCTCACCATTTATTGGCTGTGTGACCACTGATTGGTTTGATCCTCAGTTTTTCATCTGTAAAAATGTCATTAAGTAATACAGAGAGTCCTCGGGTTACATCGGACTCAACGTATGTTGTTTTGTGGTTACTTCGCCATCTCCCATTTATTTATTAAAAAAAAAGTTTTGTCATTTTGACGTATGTACATATGTGCTGTATGTTTTTTATTATTTATTTACCACAAGTAAAGGTCAGGAATTATCTTTCTTTTAAAGTTTTTTTACTGTTTCACTTCATTACTGCTGTGTATGTGCTCCCTGTGAGTGACGTAGGAACTTATGTAGGTGGGTTCCGACTTATGGCGAAAATCGCCTTATGTTGCGCCGTAGGAATGGATCTCCGTCGTAACCCGAGGACCTACTGTAATAGTTGCCCTCAATTGACTGCTGGAGGATTGATTTATAGAACCCAAGTAAAGTGCCTACAACACTGTGATCAATAAATGTTAGCTATGCCCTCGCTAGTTTAGCTCAGTGGGTAGTGTTGGCCTATGGACCAATGGGTCATGGGTTCGATTCTGATCAAGGGCACGTACCTCCATTGCAGGCTCCTTCCTGGCCTGGGCCCTGGTCGGGCTCATGCAGGAGGCAACCAATGAATGTGTTTCTCTCACATCGATATTTCTCTCTGTCTTTCCTCCTCTTCCACTCTCTCTAAAAATCAATGAATACCCTTGGGTGAGGAAATAAATAAATATTCGCTATAACCATAGGAAACCATAGGAATACCAAAAGGAAAGAAGTCACTAGATGATCCAATGGGACTTGAAATAAGCTCTTTGGATAAGTGGGAAAAATTAATTAAAAAAGGAAAAGATGGCCACCACCAGTGAGTGAAAAAGGCGAGCGTCCTTCTTAAGCAGTGACACTTGCAGAGAGAAACGTGATTCCTCTGCACCTAAAACGTGAATGTTTCAGGCGAAGAGTGAGCAAAAGATGCAGCAGCTCTGCCAGGCGGCTGACCTCAGAGGTTAGGAAATGAATGTAGAGAGATGCCTGGTGTAGCCAGGGAAGGAGAGGCAGAGAAGTAGAAAAGTCACCTGTGACCAACGTCTTATAACAATGTGCTTATTCCATACCTTCAGAATTTAAGATTTTAAAGATATGGTATTATGCATCCATTTTAACTTTCTAAATAAAACTTTTTACAGAGATTTTTTTCAAAAAGATTGCATGACAGTTTTTTCCATTAATTAAACATCTTACTGATAACTGTGGTATGTTTGCAAATTTAATGCTAATTAATTCATTCCCCCCTTTCTCTTTCACACACCACACACACACACCTCTACATAAGAGAGACAATAGCTTTACAGTTAACAATGTTTAAAATTCCTTTTCATAGGTCATAGTTAAAATTTAACTTTTTTCTTGTCCTTAAAGTAGGAAAGAAACATTAAAAATTAAAATAACTGAATTAAGTCTAAGTCTTTTCTTTGGAGTGTTACAAAAGAAATACTATGTACTTAAGCTATAATGAAAGGCATATTTACTCCCTATCAAAATATGAAATCCACTTAAAGCAAATTACTAATTTTATATTTGTGATATAGCTACCCTGCTTTTAATTATCTTAATAATAAACACAAAAAGTAAACTAGTTTCTTAACCTGATGTTACAGTATCTTCAGGCTTCTTTTCAAATTGGCTCTCAGGTACCTCATAGGTATCACTTCCCTAGAAGGAAAAAAAGAAGGAAGGAAAGAAAAGAAAAGGAAAGGAAAGGGAAGGAAAGGGAAGGAAAGAAAAGGGGAAGGAAGGGGGAAGGGAGGGGAGGGAAGGGGAAGGAAGGGAGGAAGGGAAGGAAGGAAGGGAAGGAAGGAG